AAAAGATTCCATCATTTGCAGTTGGTGATGTCTTTCCAGATGTGTTGTCAACCCTTTTTGGATTGTTCCAAAACAGTATCTTTGCACCGAAAGGAATCAACTGACCTGGAAAATCTTCATCGAATCTGAGTTTCCATGGGGCATCATCACCGTTGAGTTGTGGCGTGGCATTCACTGCCATGGAGAAATGCTGCATAGCCATTGGCCAATACTGCAATGGAAGACCTGACTGCACAAGGTTTGTGCGTGTGCCTTCAAGCATGTGCCTGATCTCCCTCTCCACAAACGACTTTGAACTGTCCACATACTCTGTTGATGTTTGATGTCTGTACCCCAACTCTGAAATTGTAGCAATAAGTTCTCGTGAATTGTCAGTGTAAACTGCCCCAACTTCATCCTTGTGAGATAAGAAGTGGTTGAAAGCATTGACACATGACTCACTCGATTTTGTCTGACTTGGATAGACGTGTCTGAACTGAGTGTGAATGTCCTTCATCACCAATGCCACTGTTTCACCTTTGACGCCTTCTTCCACATTGGATTTGATTACAGTATGGTCAGCGACAATGTGATCCCCAAAGCTTTTGGTTTCCAACCTTTTCTGTCCCCCTTTCTTCTTTGCGGGTGGCGCCATCATGCGCGCCTTCTGACAGATTTTGCAAAATGGATTCTTGGGGTAATGGCAAAACTGGTGAGATTTGCTGCATGCCTCTTGCTCAAGGTCAGATGCCTTTCTAGACCTGACGTACTCGGTTTCACTATCATGAGCTACTCCCTCATCCACGCCTTCTTCCTCGGCACCTTCTGCTTTTGCAGCAACCATTGCAAAAAGACGTAACAGATCACAATCTTTCTTGAACAGTCCACTGTTCAAAACACGACAAGAGCTATCAATAACCGGCACACGGCCGTCTACGTTAAGCTCAATGACTCCCATGTCCGGACGAATGAAGTAAGGCCTTCCATCAGCCGGCCACACAAAACTGTAACCCTGTTCCATACACCTGACCCCAACCGAAAGAACAGCAGGAGTTTCCTCAAGAATGTATGGTGAAAACGGCCGATGTAGGGCATCGACCTTTACGTCGGCCACCTCATCCGCTCGTGTCGAACCGTTCGCTGTAGCAAGGCTGATTGGGGTATCGCTGACGCGGCGGTTTGTTGCCTTTGCAGTCTTCAGCATACCCTCACTAATCAAATCCTGTTCACTGCCCGTGTCAACCAACCAAACACATCCATCTTTTGATGCCGGTGTAGCAACAGTGGGCAAATGAGTGTTACTGACTTTGTTTTTGGGACCAATCATTGCTCTACAGTGGTTGCATGATACTCCCCCTTCTGGGTCATTACATCGGAATCGGCATTTGGGCTGCGTCTCACTGCCGAAGAGCTTCACAAGTTCCTGCAACTGTCGGGCCGAAACCTGAGCACGGTGAGCCACGAGTTTGTCGGGTTTTGGCACTGACTCTGAATCAGGGAACGTCTTCTCATAGATTCGGGGTTTGTGCACTACCTTCCTCTGTTCACCTGTTGCTGGGACTTTGATGTATTCCACTTTTGATGAAAACACAATAGCTCTATGGCATTGTTCTTTCATGGCCTTTGTAGCTTTCGGCAACCCTTTTCCCTTTGCTATGCATGCATACCTTTGAGTAATGCATGGCGCAGCTTTTGCACTGGCCTTCTTCTTTGGTGCAGGGCTATTGGTGCGTTTTGGATCCTTTGTGGGTGCAGCTGCAACTTCATGTTTGTAAAAACACTTGTCACCACGACGACATTTGCCCTGTTGAAAGTAAGTGCATGGGATCTTGGCCATCTCTTCCTTCGACTTTCTGTTGGGGGAACCACTTCTGCTACCACCTTTGCCCTTACCCTTCCTTTTGGGGGTACCAGATCTTGAGGAATCTTTGACATGCTTGTAGGGACAGTCTTTACCCTTTTCGCACTTGCCATCCCTGAACTTGTAGCATATTTTATCCCCTTTTCCGCTCTGGCTACGACCACGGGTTCGACCTCGGTCGCCCTTTCCTTTGCCGCGATCTTTGCCCCCCTGAGCGGGTGCAGCGGGCTGAGGCTTTTCGGTCTGCTTGTTCTTTTCAACGATTCTGTTTCTGTTTGAACGGAGTCTTTCTCTATCCAAAAGATCACGAATGTTTCTCAACAAGAATGCATAAGACTTTTGTTCTGACTTTTCAGGAGCTCTGTCAAATGCTTCGATGTCATACTTCATCAATTGACATTTTCGGATTTGTCTGAGTAAGATGTCTCTGAGAACCAAATCATCTGGCGGGGTTTCCATGCCGGCAATTGTGGCGTCCCATCGGTTCAGAAACCTTCTAAGGTCCTCCACAGATTCTCCAGTGCGAACGACTCCAAGTAGGTCCTCGACGCGGTAGAGACTGCCAGCTTCCTCAGACGTCCTGAAGTAATCTTCAAACATCAAAAGGACTCTCCTACCTCTGACTTGGATCCCTTTCTTTGACTTCTCATCTTTGAAGTTATGGATCTTTGTTGCTAAATCACCTTTGGCCGAGCGAGTTAACGCTGCCGACAATTTGGTGTCAAGTGTGATAAATTTCCCAGGTTCCTGCAGCTTTTCCTCCAACTTTTCCCTAGGGGTTTTGTTGTCAAAGACTTCATTGAGCCAAAGCCAAGCCTCATCGGGTTTGTCGGAGCACGACTTGACTTCATCCCTGACATGATTACGCCAGTGACGATACGCTTCTGGGGCAGGCATGTCGTTCAGTTTGATAGTCTCTGCCTCTTTTGTTCGGGGCTTTTCACCATCTGAATCCTTTGAAGTCAGTCTAGTGATGAGATCTAGCAATTGTTGACCTGAAAGACCTAAGCCTGCCTCAGCCGCTTTCTTGCCAGGGTCGCTTGCTATTACTGTAGGACTGGGCACACTATGTTCTTGGTTTGCATCATCATCATTTTGTCTTTGAACTGGCAATGGTGGCAGTTTTGGAGGGGCTGCTGATCCGGCAGGGGTTGTTGAGAACAAGTTGCTCAACCTTTCTTGGCGTCCATGGCTAAGCTACTCATACCAGTGTTTGGCATGGGTTCTGCTCCAGCCTTAGTACCGACCGCTGATTTTGGGGTCATGTACAAATCGACATTGTTCCCGCCTTGTGAATCATCAACTTCAACGGCTCTGTCGACCTTGATTTCCGGGGCGCTGTACTTGTTGAGCTTCTCCATCAAATCCTCCACTTGTCCCTGCAATTGGAAGTTGAGTTCAGCAGCTTGGTTTTCCTGCCTACTGCATTCCTCTCTAATCTCCTGGATTACAGCTTGTTCCTCCTTCTTGAAACCTTCCATGCCATTCTTTGCATACTCCACTGTTTCGTCCACGATTCGTTTACAGTCTGCCTCGAGGCTACCTCTGAGTTCAGAAAACCTTTGTTCATACTGGGCTGTAACGTGGGCTACCTTTTGGTTGGCTCTTTGTTCAGCTTCCAGTGCAACTGCATTTGCAGCATTCTTCAGCTTTGCGTTTGCATCGCTAAGTTCCTGTCTCAGTTTTGCTACCTCATGCTCAGTTGCCGTTTGGGACAATGAATACTCTGACACTAGGTGTTCATGTCTGCGATCAGCTTCTGCACGTTGATGGGCGATTTCGCTAAGACAAATTCCCTCAAACTCTTGGTACAGTTGCTGGACCTTTTGTTCCATGAGATGTGTGTGCCTCTCCTCTGCCTCTTGCCTGAAAGCGTCAATGTTACCTTCGTTGATGTAGGTAAGATTGTTTTGCACGAACTGGAAATAGGCTTGCACGGGCTGTGTGAAGAAACCTTCATCCACCGACATGGGCGTGGGGTTTGTCCCAGCCGGCAAGCTTTGCTGAGAACCAGTTGATGCAGTCGCCAACGTTCCTGAAGCAGGGACAAGGGCACCTCCACCTGAGGCGTCTCCAGTTGTCCGTTCCATGGCTTTAGAGACTACGGCTGATAACCTGTATTTTCAGGTTTCAGCTGGGGTAATTCCTATTACACCCAAATGGACTGATAAACCTAAACAATGGGGAAACAACCGTTAAGCTACGCAACTCAGACCCTTTTTCACCTGAGCCGCGAATGCTAGTCAGCATGCTATGATACACCTATGTTTTATGTGGGATGCAAATACAAATGCCAACTGCCGTGAGATTTGCAGATTTGGCAACAACCCACGCCTCTAAGGGGTGAAACATCATCCGCAGGCCTCACGCAACGTTTGGGTTCCTCATCCCTATCTCCCTCATCTTCCGGAAATCAAACAACAAAACTGTGGATTTCACCAACCAAACTGGTGATTTGACCCATGGAAAAACAATGAAAAACACGTAGAAACTTAGTAGAAACAAGCTAATGAAAGTTGGGTTCCAAAAAGTTCCTTCCAACAAATTGGGGTGAAGATGGAAAATGAGTCTGGCTTGGAAGGCATGGGGATTTGAAGCCGGGACTTTGTCATGGACTGATGCGCAAAATTGAAACCCATGACATCTACTCTGATGTCAAGCTTGAATAAATTGAATCATTAAAGCTCACTCTTGGAACAGGCCAGAGTTTGGCGGTTTCAGCATCTGCGGATAAATGGTGGCACCATCTGGGGCAAAAAACATCTAAAAACCTGGAAGGGAAAAGGACCAGAAATCTCAATTTTGTTGCTCGCCCACCTTTTTGAGGCTGAACTTCTGGGCTCCCATACTCACACCTGCACAAGCCGCAGCCCTCGCCACCGCATGACCTAAGGTCCGCAGAGCTGCTGGACTGTTGGGAGGATGAAGTTGGTCTAATTGCAGCAAAATGTCATGGATTTGAACAACCTAAATTTGGAGATGTAGCAAACAATGATTCGGCATATGACCTGATCAGGGCCCCATGTCCAGGCAAAAAGCAAATAAACATCCATCCATCCATCTGTCGTTTTGAAACTCAACAACCCTCCTCATATGTGGGTGATGCAAAACAGCAGGGAAATCTGTTGAGCACCTGCGTATCCGAAAAACATGTCCAAATTCATCCCAAATTCCACCAGTTCCCTTCCAGGACGAGCCACAGACAGCCCTTTTGTGCGAGGAGAGCTAGCCACGCGTCCACCTGCGCCGGTGAAAGCGGCCCGATGGAAGTTGGGTCATTTTGAGAATCAAAATGCGGTTTGGATGTTTTAAATTGGCCCCACAACCGTCCAAGTCGGGAGATTCAATATTGAAAGTAAACAGACAACTCTATGCTCATGCGGTACAAGTACAAATCCCTGTGAGTGATGCAAAAGCCTTGAAGCCACTAGACTCGAACTCAGCACAATTGTAGTTTCGTCGTCAACAAGAACAAGAAGAAGAAGAAGAAGAACAACAACAACAACAACAACACAAAAAACAAGAACAAAGGCAACAACACTGAAATATCAAAACAAAAACCAACACTTCACTTCACCGAACGTCCGTCAACAAGAGTATACACATTGTGTATATACTTATGAATAACATATATCATCATATGTCAAGCATCTATAAAGAACTTGATGTAATAACTGTAGTATGTATAATTAGTATAACTACATCATATCATATCATCCTATTTGTTGTATATATATATATATACATACTGGATACTGTACTTTATCTGGGGTCTTTTATGACAGGCACCTCCTTGCTGCTGGCGCTGGGTCGCGGCAGCTTCAAAGGCGACAGCAGTGGATGTCTAGCGCAACAATGGAAGAAATCAGCTAAAGTACTGTGAAAATGCAAATCCTCTATGTTTGCTGTCTATGACAAGCTGGATCTTGCTTTTGGTAAATCATATCCGTCTTTGGATTGAAGCAACTGATGACTTAAGACACCATGTTTACTTGGTATATCATAGTTCTAACATGTTCCCACCTCAATATATTCTTAAAAATGTTTGACCAGCGCCTTCGTAGCTCTTCCAGCGAGGGGCGCTGGTCCGCCTATCCAAGGGAACTTGGGATGTTGGCCAACAGCAATTGGTTCATCAACAAAAACAATGATTTAACCAATGATGGGATGTAGCCATGACAAAATGCAAGCAAAACAAACGGGAATTAAACCAACACAAGAAGGATTGAACCAACAAGAAGGATTTAACAAAACCAGCAAATATGTGAATAGAATCAATACAAATGGACAAATGGTGGTTTCCAGTGATGTTGGGATGATTTACCACACAATAATTTTGACCCATACCCACATCTTTGTTGATTTGGCCGCAGAGATTGTTGATCATGTGTTGGTATGTGCTGGCTTGTTAATGCTTGTTATATGCCCTTTATTTCTTACCGAAAAATATTAAAGCCCAATTGCCAAATTTCGCCATGTAAAATCCACCCGAAGCCCATCCCACCTCCTCCTTGATCAAACTTAGGACCAAGTCCTGGCACGATAACTTGACGCTTCAATTTTCACCAAATATCCCAAATCATTGGTTCATAGATCATTCCTAAATGACAATCTTTGTTTGCTATTTGATAACAGAAATATCAGGGATGACAATGGGATGGTTCAGAGTACCTAGTCAACTCTGCGGTCCCAATTTTAAGCCATAACATATCCATGTCGTATCCATTTCAGAGGTACTTCCTCTCTACTGCATGCAACTGCTTTTTAATGTGGATTTGGCAGATGACATGATGTTTTAGTGATATTTCAGAGGTTTCTAGCTGAAATACCTGTTGCCAAGGCAAGAACATCTGCCGAAATCTGGGTACCCTTTTGTAATTTCACCTGGCGATTGGAAATCATCATTTTTACGGTAGATGTTCCATTTTTTCAGGAATCATCCCATCCCACCTCGCCATGGCATTAAGCCCAAATCGTTTTCGCTGATCTTTTCAATTGTTTTTGCATATGGCTGGTATGGCCCAGAATCAATGCATTCACCAACCATTTACCAATTGGTTTACCCCGCAGCTGGTTGATATATCCCCTATCTTGAAGGTTTCAACCCCGTGTTGATGAAAAGTGTCTTAAAACCCAACTTCTGTTGGTGTGAACCCTCATGTTTTTCGAAACGAAAGATCCACCATTTCTGGACCTTCAGATCGGTGAACATGATCCTCAATTGCTGCTCAAAACCCCTGTTTCTGCGCTCCAAATCCCGGTGTCTAATCGCGTAAATTCCCCATCTAAGAGTCTTTTGCTGATGAAATCACCATTTCGTCTTAGTTCAATTTCAATTCCATTGCTTCAACCATTGTTAAACCAACCATAGAACCCATGGAACCATCAGCTGCACCCGGCACGGCCACCTCCGCCTCCTTCGAAGGCAAGGCCTTGGCGCCAGTCTCCTCTGGCCGCGCGATGCACGCAGCGATCCTCAGCTGGACTTCAACAGCCATGGTTATCCCAATAATGATCCCATCATGGGGATATGTATATATATATATATATATATGTTTGTGTATATATATATGTGGGTGTGTAATTTGCATATATGTTTGATTGTTTTTTTCCAACCAATATATTGGGGTATGACCAACCAGAATGGATTAGAATCGGGATATATGCCGTTATATATTGGGGTATATTGCTGGCAAACAACCAGAATGGGAATATATTGGTTTACGTATATTACCAACAATGTGATATTGATTGGCTTTGTTTCAACATGGTGGATATCGGATACCCCAAAATGGCAATCGTGGGATATTGGGTGACATGTTGCAATTTTAATTGGATGATGATAACCAATTTATATATATATTAAACAATTAAATCTGGGGGTACCCAATTTTGAAACAGTCCCATATCCACAGCTAAACCAAGGTCTTTTTTGGTTCCCGACAGCTGATGGTTGTGCGCCAGGGCCGAGTAGTCCCATTTGTGTGCCTTGGCTGATTAACACGCAGCAGCAATGTCTGCCAACCAACAAAAGCAAACCATCAAACCATCAAAAACTAATATCAGTTGAGATATTAATTGAAATAATTCAAATCCCTATTTGTAATGTTGTGTGATGTTGTTTGTGTTCCTCTTGTCATTTTATACAAAGGTCTTGTTGATGGTTGCATGCTCATTGCCCGAAAAAATGCAGCTCAGGGCACCATCGCAGCACAGGGAGGTTCCACTTTGGTCCGACCCTCTACCTCCCATGCGGTCACGGGAATAGGAAGGTAACAGATCATCCCAAGAACATGATCCAGGTTATAGAGAAAAGAACTTCATTAGCAGGTTTACGTTTGAATTAATTGCATGATATATGTACATATATTGTTTATTAGTTTATTACATCTTGTTACCAATATAAGTAATATCGTTCCACCCAAATCTCCAAAAAACATGGTGTTTCAACATGTTTCAACCCACCGGCATGGCCGCCGCCTTGATGCCACCCGCCAGGATCACCCAAATCACTGCGCCAAATGAATACCTTAAGTGAAATCCCGGGAGTATCCCAAGGGATTCATGGCATAAATCGTTCCATCATCGGGCGATGAATTCATGCCATAAAAATCATCATAAGGGATGAAAAATCGATTCAAATCGCTCATTTCCACGACGGGTTTGTTTTGGGCGCATGAATTGCATGATTTGGGATTCAAATTCATGAAAGCAGTAAGAATTTTGCGAAATGGATTGGAATCAGATGTTGGGGGATTGACCGACTCTGCAAATTTCACACACCGAGTTGGGACGGTTTGCTCGGTTTGCTGGAGCGGCATCAGGCTTTCTTTGAGATGACCCAAATTGCGAGCTATTGATCTACCATTGTATTCTTTTCTTTTTGCTGGACATCTCCATGTTTCATTCCTTTAATCATTCCTTGTTTAGAAGCCACCCTTGCAGCCTCACATTGCCAGTCCTAGCCGGGTCACAAGTCTGCACCCTTGCCGTAGTCCTGCCCTTTGATCACCTGCACAGAAATTCTTTGGGACGGAGCAGGTTGCCATCAACTGGGGATGTGATGAATGTGGGGTACAACCCCGCTGTTTGGGTATCATGGGGATATAAACCCTTCCTAAATTTCACATGGAACTGGAACTGAAAATATGTAATGTGATTTCGATTGGAAAAGCATCTTGCAAACCATTTCTGTGGGTTCAAGCTAAGTACTATGCATGGACTATTGAACTCTTAATGCGGCGTAGCCCTGCCATGTTTCAGCATCTGGGGCAACGCTCCCGTGGTTTCTGCAACCTCAAGTCGTTGTTCGTAAAACATCCCCGTCTTTGTGGGGTGCATCACCATCATCACCGTTTCCGTTGGGATCTCGTTTTTGGGCCCCGTGGCTATGGGGCTCTGGATAAAAAAATGATCAACCTGATCAACCTGATCAACCTCCCAACATCGTTTGAATAAAGAAAAAAACTGACCAGCCTTCTGTGTGCGACTGTCCCTTGATATTCCAATTTCAACTCATCCGAGACTCATCCCCAGATATTTGAAGAAACTCCAAAACCATAAAACCCACCAAAATCACCACTGAAAACATGATGATCTGCCTCTGGGGCGATGTATGCAGGCGTCCCCGGCGGTGCACCGAAGGTCCTCACGTATCACGGGGCGTGGTACCCAGCCTTTTGTGATATCAGCTGTGACAAGAAATGTGGAAACTCACGTGACCGTAAACCCAGAGTGGCTGAGTGGCTGCAGTGAAAATTTCCGCCAACGCGCGCTCAATCCAATTTGAACAGAAATCCATTAGTTTGATGATTCTATGTCAGCGTTCAGCAGCGTTGTCTGCCAGCCATCTATTTTGATCATGACTCACCATTCACGCAAAAAACCTTGCATTGTTCAATCACCGTCTTGCCAGCGCTGGTTACAACCCATTTAAACACTGTTTGCCATTTGGATATTCTCACCATTCCCGCGGATCAGAAATTGTTGCAGAAACCACGGGCAGGTGCTGGTTCTACTTCTATAGTCGTCTTGATCTGTTTCGCTCGTCAGTTGGCTGGTTCGCGTTGATGTGGCTCTGTTCCCATTTCTACGGCTTCCCCTTGCAAGGTGCACGGATCGATGTTGCTGCCCAATTTTTGTGAATGCACAATCAAATCCCTATTTTATCGATTTAGTATCTGTTAAATTTGTTAAATCACAGAAATTTCTCATTGAGATCATCTCCACCCACCCCCATTCACCATGCCATGGCACCACTCGCCGGTTGCTTCGGTGCCGAAACGACAGAGCCCGAAATCTGTGAGCTTCGCCAAAGGCTTGGCATTCCGACCTGAGACCGTGGAGGCGTCGTGGAGGGTTAGGGCCGGTTTGGGGCACCATTTAGCCCAATGTATATCAATGTATCCACCCATGGGGTGGTATTTGCGACCTGAGGATTCGTAGAAATGAAAATCACAAGATATCCCACTTGCCACTTACTGACTGATATGCAAGCAAAAGAAATGGAGGTAGAAAAAAATGCGAATAGAACCTATGGTGGTAAGGACGCGAAAATCCAAAGACGCAAAAATCCCAACAGAAACTGAAGTCTGCGGCCAGATTTTTTGGTGGTCATAAGTTATAACCCAGTGTTCCAGTTGGAAATCCAATTTACCCCGTGATAACCTGATACCCAAATTGATATTCTCATGTTTGCTGAGTAACTTACCACTTTGGATTGGTTCAAAAAACGCCTGCCTTAAATTGATCGCCTAAGGCCACAATCCTACAATTGAACTGATTGAAGTGATTGAAGTGATTGAGCTTATGATTTTTCTCTAATCTTGGCATATCTTGGCATATCTTGGCATATCTTTTCCCATGGATCCCCTCATGCCCCCGAAAATCACTGGCCTTCGTCGGAGAGTACCACGTTGTCCGGCTTCAAGTCGCGGACCAACATGCCCATGGTGTGCAAATGCCTAGGGGAAACAAACATTAGACAAACCAACATGAACCAACCAAATAAGCTAGATATATTCTCATTGCCCTAGTAGTTCCAATCTGAAATTACCCTCATATTCCAAAATGATTTGATCCTATGTGGTTCTTAATATTGATGGGGTTTTCGCCCAAAACTTGGATGATCCCTGACGATGAAATATGTTATGTACGTCTAACTCTAACTGTCTAACATGTATATATATATATATACATATGTATATATATATGTACATGGAATATCCCAATTGTAGAGGCTTCTGCGTTCTATTCCGATCTGGGACAACTCAGCCGAGTACACGGTATCGTCACCAAACAAGTCCCCAAAAGAAGCACAGAAGTTCCTGACATTTTTCCTGCCTGAAGAAATCCGACATGCAGTTACAGCACATTGCTCACACAAAACTAGAACTTATGAAGCCAACAGTTGCACAGTCTATCGCAGCTGTTTTATAAAAATGGGTCATATCCCACTGATTTACCCAATATCAGAAATGTTATGGGAAAAATGAGTAAAACATGAATTTCTAACCTCTAAACCAGAGACCCACATAGACCATCAACGATCTTTTGGATCCACGGTGCTCGATGCCAAGCAGTACTTGGCCAATCCAAAAGAAGGCCTCTGGCGGAGGGACGTAATCCTCTTCACCTCGCAGCACAGAGCCCTTTTTTTGGCGGGTTGACATGGTTCAGATGAACCGTTGAAGCCAGGGTAGTTATTTTTTCTTGACACGAATGATGCAATGGCTGCAATGTGAAGAAAACTTCCTGCAGAAAGTTTCAAACCACTCTGCGGTGCTCATATTTTGAGTCAAATCTGGTGGTTTCTAAACCATTTTGTTTGCCAAAGAGCGTTGCCAAATCTGTCGAAGATGTTCGGTCCTCGTGTGGCAGCGTGGTTGAAATCCAATAGTCGGAATCCAAAAAAAAATCTCTATGTGCGGAAAGCACTATTCAGATTCCCATGGATGTGAAGTGTTGGCGCTCAACTGTACATGACCGGTGCATGTGCCCAAGTGTTTTGCTGGCGTAGCAGCAACAACCATGGGATATGACCTGCAACAAAATTAGCAGAGAATGACGACGAGGCTTCCAACCAAGATGTGTGATATCAAACTGATCAGAGTACCAGCAAATGCTGTGTCCTGTAAACAACCCAACGTTGGTATACCTGGCTTGGTTGCCCATATATATCACCCAGCCATGTCTTTGACATCGCTTGATTTTGGAAGTGGCCATTCAGCCTTTATGGATTCCCACAGATAGTGACTTATCAAGAGCGACTGTACAACTCCAGCTCATGAAAAAATCTCAGTTTCATCCTATATCAAGCACCATCATTGCGATTGCGTAACATATATCTCAAAATGGTTGACTTGTATCATTCTGGGCATATCTCTCTAGACTTTGTGGGTTCTAGACTTTGATTTTTTGACGAATCTCATGAGTTATTGATATCTCCATGAGCTGTTGCTGTCCAGGCACAAGCTCCCTTTGGAGCAGAGTTCCATGACGAAACAGTAGAGACCTTGGTGCAAGATCAACTCCTGGGGGAAAATGATTCACTAATCAGATACTGCTGATCCAACCAAAAGTTTTGTAGTACTACTAGTTGCCATTTGGTGGCTATCCATGGCTATCCAAAGGTATTTAATGCGTTGACCCTGTGATTGGGGCGGTTGCAAACAACACTTGGGATCGAGCCCTTGAGCCCTGTCTTTGATAAATGGCTCCGAATCTCAAGGTCATGAAGTCTGACAGCAAAAAAAACATCCACATCACCATTGATTCACCATTGATTCACCATTGATTCACCATTGATTCACCACTATGTTTTCTTCGAAAGAAATGCCAGAAATCGCAGCCTCCAACATCGCGCCCAAGCTGCGAAGGTCTGGAAAATGCTTGGCGTGAAAGAGCTGCACCACACACCTGACGCTGTGGATACACCATACTGGGGTCCCCATGATCTAATATGATTATCAGTGATTATCTAATGGCCATCATTTGGAGTATGGATGAGTATGGTATGGTAAGTATGGTAAGTACCTGACTTTGGGAGTTTTTATGTCCAGTTGATCTCCAAAATGTCAAGTTGCGGGACGCCCGGGACGCCCGGGACGCCTGTGCGGCTCCTTGCTGAGTCGATCCGCCACATCGCTCTCACGCTGTGCGGTCTTCGCCAGGCCACGCGGTGGCACGGTCTCAGAGATGTCTCAACTGGGGATGCTTTGTGGTTGTTACTATGGTTGTTATTATGGTTAAAAAGATGTGGCTATGATGGTTACTATTAGTTGTTGTTTTGGTCCTGGTTATGATGGTTATCACGATCATGATCATCGGATTTCCTACTTTACTCACTATTTCAGTTCAGCTGTAAAATCAATACCAACGAAAACTGGAATGAAATCATGATTTGAAACATGTAAAAACCATTCAGTTGAAACTGAAAATAATTTCATATTCATGTGTGATTCTTCCAACCGACAAAAAGAAATGGCCAAAAAGGGCGAAGGAAAGGCCGTGACATATCGGCCCTCTCTCACGGCTTTCACTGCAAGTTGTGTTTTGTTTCGGCACATAAATATATATATATGTGTATATATATATATTGTATATACATATAATATATATATATACATATATAGAGTAAATACAATCACACGTTGACCAACAGGTGCTCTGCCCATTTCGTAACTCTTGAACCTCCCAGCCGGGAAATGGTGCAGGCGAGCTGCCACGTTCTTCACCTCAGCTGATCAGCTGATCAGCTAATGATACCTATGGTGGGTCTGGAAACAACCAATAAACCACTGGTTTTTTTGGTATCCCCAATGATCTTTTCTTGGATTTTTCCGGATATTTCAGGTTTCACCAGATCATCCGACTCAACCCAATCACTAGAAATCATCCACAAAATGATACTTGAAACAGAACTGATTATTGGTCTCAACCTATCCCAAACAATGGGAACAATGTTAGCTTTTTTTGAGGATCATTTTCCCAAGCAGCAATGGAAAGTCCGGAATATCCGAAACCATGACCAACATGTACATCCATGGTGCTCGCATGTTTGACATCTTTAGATCTTTGATGATAATTCATAGCTACATCTCCACGCTTCATCGTTGTGGTTGAATCCCCCATGAATCACTGCTTGTCCTGCTATACCTCCATCCTTCCAAGTAAAATCACATTAAATCCTCATCTTTTTTTTTTAAACATCCCCCAATTTTCCGCGGGAACATCCCATATTTTTCCCATATAATTATGGAGGTTTCCGAAAATGATACCCATGGATTCTATGGAAAACCCATGGATTTCTAGTGGAAAATCCCATGAAAATCCCATGAATGGAGCCGCCGAGGCGCCGCATAGCAGCGGCCCGTGTGCGCGTCCTTGGCGCGCCATACGGTGCCAAAGGAGCCACGGCCCAGGACCGCTGTCTCTGGCAGGTGCATTAGCCTTGGCCGAGTGGTGGATCTGGGAAAATCCCAATCTAAGTGCGTATATATATATTGATATATATATATATATATATCATATATATATCATATATATATATATATATATTGATATGATGGATACGGATGGATGCGGTACATACATCTGTGTATGTATATATATAACTATATAATGATATCTAATGACATGGTTATGGATGGATAATTATACCACCTACAATATGTATATAATGGATAGATATGCTGTATAATGATAATCACTATGGATACATCTGATGAGCTAGTATAGTGATTATAGTGATTTTTCTGTGAGATCTCGTAATTGAATCACAGTACATCAATCTGTCCATACCGGATACCATTAGTTATGTTGAAACATCACATCCCCCAGAATCCCTGTATCTGTTGCATCATTTCCCATCCTGCAACCCCCTGCATTTCCCACAAATTTCAGCAGACTCACCTGCAAAATCCAATCACATCCGACCCCAACTGGGATTTCCGGAAAATCTTCCAGCCATTTCCAGCCCCAATTCCTGCAGCGCAAGTAACGCGTAGTGCCAGTTGCCAATCTCCCTGAGCGCCACCGCTTCCTTCTTCCAAGCTGCGTCCACTGCGCCTTCCGCCTCAGCTGAAGTTTCTTTAGCAGCTAAAGGTGAAGAAAAAATGCTGGAAAATACCTCTGAAATGGGAATAGTGGACGCATTATACCGCTCATGGAATGCTTCATATCATCCTTCAAGTACGAAACTTCTGCTTCTCAAATGGGTTCAATTCACACCAAAAGCTGCAGCCTGCTTGGGGGCCGCTGGTGCCAGCCATTGCTGGAACATTCCCCCCTAACCTCTGAAAAAAACATTCTGCCACCCATCTCATCCTATCTCATTCCAGCTGTTGTTGCTTTCGCAACCCCTGTGAAACCCTTTGAATCTCATGTGTCTTCGTTGGTTTTTCTGTTGTTGAAAAAAAAACATTCAATGTCTGTTCGTTGCGTACATCCCACAAATGTCTCGTGATCAAAATGATAATTTGGTTGCTTCCCCTTCTCCATCCAATCCATCATCCAACATTGGGAAATCTGACGGAGAAACATTGTTCTTCTACCATTCAAGTCAAAAAGGGGTTCTGTAGAAATCGTTGCTTGAATCAACTCTGCTAATTTTAGAGCCATGGTTTTTCAAAACTCAATTTTGCAATAATAAATTATGGTAAACCCAACTATATATTCACTGTCCAGGACCCTTGCGGAAAATTCAACTGAATCATGGGATGAACCGAATCCCAACAAGCCAGGTCACATCAATAGGCACAAGGCCCTCCAAGCGCAGCTGTGCAGATTCCAAGAAGCGACGCAGTCGCCCCTCGTTGGTCAAGGCCTGGTTGTGAGGCTGATGGATGGATTGAAAAATGGGATTGAAATTCAAAATATACAAAACATGTATTTAAATGAAATTGTACAATGGTTGTAATTAAAATATGGGATTTTAATATATGTGAGTGGGATTTTAATGGGAAGGGGCCTTTACCCCCAAGGATGGGAACAAGTATCACATGATGGAGGAATTAATTGGGATTGAAACAATGGAGGATTGAAACCAGCAATTTTTTGAACCATTGGCTCCAGAACTAAGAACTCACAGGTTGCGCTCCCGGTTGGAGCGAAAATCTGCGCCTCCCGGGTGCTGGTACCACGAACAGCTCCACGGACTGGCACCTGGAAACGCTGAAAAAACGTGGCTCAAAGTTGGTACCACTGATGTTCATGAAATGTGTTTTCTGATTTGTTTTTCTCTAGATCTGATTAAGATTCTGTATACGTTTCAATCTATCTGTCTTGTTTGGTGGAAAAAAACGGCCCGATTACTTGATTTTTTTGACAATTAGCTTGGATATCGTCCAACTTTTGGGGCATCTGTGAATCTATGCGAACCAGGCTGGGATCGGAGCCACGGTTACTCAAGAGCCACCTAGTTGATATGCGATGAATGGAAGCATGGCCATGTTAGCCATTCCAGCTGTTGGTTTTTGGGGGACTAGACTCATTAGACAAGCCATCCATAATATCATAATGAGAAACAGATTGTTCTCCAGGAAGGTCATAATAAATGGAAAAAGTCTGCAAACTCAATCATAGCAATAACAATAACAGTAATAATAGTAATCATGATAATTACAATCATAATAATGATGAGAATGATAATCATCATCACCATCTCAGATACTTGTTTCACAAGCAGGAGTACACAGCAATGGCACCTGGGCAGACAAATGCAACATCCACTCCACAATGAGCTTGGGGATGTCCTGTGCAAAAGCCGCAGGATGAAAACCGCTTTGTAGCGGGCATCTCTCATTAGCCCTCCATGGTACCCAGCCCAAATGAAGCAAGTATTCTTGGTCTTGGCAATGATTCTTTGTGCGTCTTGAATTTTCGAACATATACCTCCGCACATCATTGTGCATCCATTGAGATATCTATCAACTTCATCTTCAGTGTATGTATATATATATATATACATATGTGTGTATATACAAATTATGTCATGTATTTATATACATACATATATATATGTTTCCAGCTATAGCCATCCATCACACCCAAAGGCATCCCTCAAGCGCACCGCATCGGGGTCGGCATGACGCTCCACGAAGTCCAAGAGTTGTCGGGCAATGCCTGACCTGGGATCGCCAAAGATCCGGGGATGGAGGGGTACCCCATGTGTTTAATGTGAGATTAATTTGATTGGAGTATATAGGGTTAAGTAGAAATTATAGAGTCTAGAGATAGTCGAGGTGGTAAGTTTTGAGTTAATTCATCACAAAATACTACGTAATACTAATGCGTTCATTTTGGGGAGTTGATGATATCTAAAAAATGCTGATGAGTTAAGCAACACGTAGATGGGGAGAACAGCCAACCTCTCAACAAGAAGAAATGGATATAATAAATCTGCATAGAGGAGGAAAAATCACCAGCAAACGACCAACCAACACGCGCAGGCGCGTTTCGGGTTTTTGACCATTCATAATTTGGGATACCCTCTGGTAATTTAACATAGCTATTGAAAATGGCTATTTATAGTGGATTTACCCATTAAAAATGGTGATTTTCCATAGCTATGTTAAATTACCAGAGGGTACAAACAAGGAAGATAGGAATCCAGCCACAGCGTCGCAAAGACAACGGAATCGCTAAGAACACACCGATTCAATTGAAGGTATCCGTCGAAAACTGGCTGCCACGGGTCTCAAACCATGTGGAACCTCAAATATATAGCCATCGTTGAGTTCCACATGAACTAACTCTGGCAATAATGGATTGGTTTCAAATGTTTGTTTTCGGACAATAGCTACACTCCATTCCATCTCATGGTTGTTTGTAAATGGCCAATCCCATTTTGTAGTGGCCATGTATTGAAGGCCAATCCCACACATGAAGGACAAACCTACTGTTGTCGCTGTTCAATGGCCCCATTATTGCTGGCTAATATATCCGTGGTTGTTAGGCAACTTGTCATCAGTCTTTGGGCTTCCCTGCATCTTTTCAAGACACAATTCCTGCCGCTCCAGCTGTCGCCCAAAACCAAGATGAAGCCACGAATTGGATCTCTTAAGTGGAATTAAGCCCGGAGAGAAAATAGATGTCTTGACAGACCTAGAAAGGAAATACTGAATCCAAGTCTCAATGTTCCAACCTGTCAAACACTGAATTCTGTTGGTTTCTACACCCTTTTGTTGTTCACTTCATCCAACTGATTTCGGTTTGAATTTCACAAAAAAAAAAAACATATTCTTTCAACATAAAAACTAAGCTGGGGCCTCATCACTTTCTGCCCAGGGCTCCAAGAGGAGTTGTTGTAGTTGGTGCAGTTCCTGCAGCTCCATAGCGTTTTTAAACAATGGATTGGACAAAGACCAATTAGGATGAGGGTATAATGGGGATAGTATTGTATATATAATGGGTACACTTTGGATATCATGGAATAGGCATATTATATATATATATCGTATACAGCACAGAAGATTATATCCAACACCCATCATCTGTCAATGAGTCTATCAAGGCATATTATATATATATATTATATGTGTGTTTTCCAATAATGAACATGTCCCTGCAAGCTATCCATTTTTGAATGGTGTCTTTCGTCCACAAATTTGGAATCCTCAAATCCCATGGGATTTATGCCCAGTTTTCCAACCCTGGACCTTCCATCAGCTGATGAAATTGTCGGCACCTAACCAACTGTTACAATATCATCGGCTCAAATGACCATGAAGGCGGCTTCATATACTGCGATGAGAATGACAATCAATATATGATATGAATTGATATGATACAATCTGACAATGAGGTACTGAGAATCATATTGTGATAGTGACATCATGTGATATCATGTGACATCAATGATGGTGATGGCTAGTTGTCAACGGCTCCTCGTAGATCTCCTCTTTCGTCACGTTCCGCAGCTCCTGTTTTGCGTGGTCATCCACTGGGTATCGGCTTGGCGAGTGGGGTACCCATGGCTATAAGCAACAGCAGGATGGGTATCTACAGATGGAATAGATTGGAATAGTACTAGTGTGGCCTGGTATAGTGTGCATGCCATCATGATGTTCTATGATGTTCTATGATGTTCTATGATATCTAATTTATAGCTGTTCACATAAAGGGAAGGACCACAACAAATTCAAATGATATGAGCACAGCTCTAACCAATGCAAATGGATTCGATATTCACAAAAAAAATGGCGAGCTGTGTTTCTTTGTGTATATCACAATGAGATTCGGTGTGATCATCCTGTGTTTGCAATCATTAACAGTCATCGACAAACCAACGCGATGCAGTATTTTGAGCGTGTCTGAAGGATTGGGTTATGTACTCTCCCAAATTTGAGTTACTCAGTTACTGTAAACTCTTCTAACTATTCGTACTTGGCTACGGGGCCCTTGGAAAGGAGCCTTTGCCACTGGAACCAGCGCGCCTTTGGACAAGACTTCAGCAACAAACTCACGCCACCAGGGACCTCCCGTGAGCCAGGCAGAATGACACGCTGCTGCAGCTGATTCAAGCATCCTGTTCTCAAAACAAGGGGAGTGGCACACACGGTGTGTCTGGCACTTGCTTGTCAGACGCGTTCAACAATCTTCAACCCCATGCTATTCCGCAAGAAGCAGCCCACATTTCTCAGCAAAAAAACAGGATCAAAACGCCAAAAAGGTCCCGACTTTCCCTATCCCAGTTATCCCAGTTATCCCAGTACCAAAAACTCAAGCGCCTGGGCTAGCTGAACCAGCGCACGTGCTACCGACAGCAAGGAGTGCTTGGCGCTTTGTGCCAACGTTGCCTAGAGCAAGACCCGGGGCACTCGAAAAGTACTCAAAATTGCCATTGAAAGGCCAAAACATTTGGAAATGGGAGATGTTCTGTTGTTGTGTTTGATACAATACATAGTTTTACTCAGCAAACATGAGGTTGATTTCTGTTATATAATGGAATGTTGCCAAAGTTATTGCCGAAGCTGCGAAGCAGAGTAATCACTAGCTTTCCGAGCTTTGACTGTGCACCACTTGGGTCTTCCACTACCCAAAATCGCATTCCAAAATCTTGGGAAATACGAAAAACTAATTTTAACATCATCTACAAGTGGATGATAGTGGATGTAATGACGCGGAATTGTCCATTGCCGCGGTAGATTTAGGTGCCATGATCCATGGAGCCGGACTCGCGCATCGTCCACTTTCAGCAGCGTAAAGGTCACAGTGACCTGAAAAACAAGGCCCTGGGCCCTCCACTGATCGTCTTCAAATGTCAAGGCGTCGCTTAGTTCACGCGAACAGTGGAAGCCAACCGCACCACTGGAACTCATCACTTCCAAGGATTGAAATGTATTCCATTTTTGCAGGGCTCATTCCAGGTTTCAGGTTTACAAATTGCGCGGAAATGTGTCTGTAGTTTTTGGATTAAGTTATAGAAGTCATTGCAAATCCCATTTGGCGTGTTTCACCTTGGATTTCACCACAACAACCACAACCACACCACCTTCCACCCCTTGGCCACCTGCGTCTCCACTTCCACACCCCGGCGATAGAGCCTTAGTCGATTCTTTGGTGGGATTTCACCAACAAATACAGCTTTCAACCCGCAAAAAGTATGGGAAATATGGAAATTCTGATGAATTGATCCTGCTGAACAATGGTTACTCGGAAATGATCCTAGTGGTGGTCATTTTCCACCTTGTTTGGCTTCAAGTAACCAGAACCCAACAGGTGGCTTCATTCCACCGGGTGGCAAGTCCGGAGAGTTCACAGGTCATGGATGGATTTGTCCATCCCCTGCACTACCAAACAGTGCAAAACGTGATCGCTGAGATAACGGTTTGATGGGATGCCTTTGATGCTCAAAGCTCTGGTTGAAAGTCACTGGCAAATCTTTGGGGCTCCAGGACTCCAGGGCTCCAGGCTTCAATTTTTGGGTCACCGGTTTTCCTCGATGCACCTCCGGATCTGCGTCCTGGGTGGGTTTTGGAATGTTTTGGGAGATCTGAAGACTTAGTCGGGGGATTATTTTATGAGTTAAAGCATTATAAAAACCATTTTTAAGCAATGAAACCCTCACAGAGAAGCCTTTGGATTCTGGAAGACAGCACACTCTCCCACATCCTTTTAATGCTCAAATGGATTCAAACTACCCCCCATGTTTGAGTGATCTTAAATTAGGGGCTGAGTCGAAACAATCTCAACTAGTCAAAAACCATTTGACACGCCATTGTCACCAACCACTTGAAAACTAGGATCTCTGATAATTCTTGATACACCGAATTCCAACAAATATTCAACGCTACTGTGATTCGTTGATCCCTCAAGTTCATACAGAGCATAGTACGAACCAGCAAAATCTGCACATGTTGTTTCGCAACGTTCTCCGATCACCAAAGCCCGTCACTTTTGGGAGGTCCATGGGAATATTCATCACCTTCCCAACCTTCCCAAGCTTCCCAACCTTCCCACCCCGCCCATGTTTCCTCTTGTGGTAGATAGAGCCATCCTTCGCCCACCAACGCGTCGCCACGGATCCAAGAGTTGCGCTTATCCTAAGCTGTTGATGTGGAAAATATGGGTGTCTGAAAATGGGGGGGATACCGGGATACCTCAAAATAATCCAAAATTGAGTGTTTTTTTGTGGGGAAAAAAACTGATGGTGCAATATGTTGCTTAAACTGCAGATTGCCTAAAGATGTTGGAATATCAACAAGTAGCAAAGCCATTAAAAATCAATACTCAACAAGGTGTGAATATGGGGCATGCAAATTGGGACGGGTGCTCCCCAAGGCCGACTCAGATCCAGGCGTAGACTGCAATGCCTCAGCGGAGTCACATTCCCCAAGTCAACTGTCAAGGATTGAAATCATCAGCAGCGTTCTTCCACTCTGCAAAAGATCCAACAGGGAACCTTCAACATTCTTTCAACCTTCAAACATCTTCAAACCGATTGAAATTCCTCCCATCCAGCCCTAAAAATTTTAACCGGAAAACCCCATGATCTTCATGAGAAAATAGCTCTGGTTTCCGGTTAAGATTTTCCCTTAAACCAACCGCTCCAGCCCCAACCCCCCCTAACCCCATCCCTTTACCGGGCTCTCCGGCGCACGGCGCTCAACAGCTCCGTGGCCTTCCGGCCCAGCTCTGAGGCAGCTCCGACCTGGAAGAAGAGACCCTCCTGGCACCGATGGCGGCTGGGTCGAATGAAGCGAATGAAATCCAACATACATCATTTATACATATGTAACATACAAATATGTTATATATTATTGTTATATATTATATTATATAGTATATATCTAATGGGATATATTAGGAAAGTATCTATAAATCCTGATTCTTTGGTGGAAATCCATTGTAAATGATGGTGTTTAATGGGAAACACATCTAGAAATGCTGGATTTCCGGCCAGCCAGGTTCGACAGCCCTTCGTTTCTAGGCCAAAACAACAGCTTTGAAGGTGCCAAACACAGCTACTTCGGGTGGGGGACCATATTCAAAGGGAAAGATACTTCAAGTAGATCTAGCTGGTTCAAGCTGAGTGGATTTGCAGTCATTGTTAAGTGGAATAAAAGGAAGCCATCAATCATGGTGAAGTTGGTTGCTGCTTGAAATATGTAGATTCGAAACGCCCCTACTCTCCAACAAAACCAGATAACAGTGGGGCACCTTGCACCAACGAAGTTGAACATGGAACCCTGCAAACATGCTTGTCCGAAACATCTTTTAGGGGTATCATCCAATATTGCTGGTTCATGCTGGTTCTGTATGCTATTCTTGTGGAAACATTTTCGACTATCCCCATCAGACCATTCTGGCACCTCTTCGAGGAAGGTGGTCGAGCAGCCCTCAGGCGATGAATACACGGTGGGATATTTAAATACATATAACATATATAACGGTTTCAACGGTTTCAACGTCACTTAACGACGTTTACCCCGTGTATTCCCTGCTAGCTATTCTCAAGCAAGACATCTTCCCACGTCCAGCCTGCTCCACTTCTTGCACAGAAGTCTTTTGCACCTGCGAAGGGACAAAATGTTGAGTTTTCAAGCCGTTGCGAGGGAAATGCCATACTGTAAGAGTGGGGTGTGGCGGATATGTTGACAAAGTTGACAAACAACAAGGTGATTACCATTTGAGACTCGCGGTTAACAGGACAGAACCTGGGTTTCATACAAGAAACATATCCAACAACAATCTGGGCGTGCCGAAAAGATCCATAGACAGACGCCCCATGAATCTCTGACAAGTGCTTCCAAAATGAATCTTCCAAAATATTGAAATATATTGAAATAGATATTCAAAATGAAGTATTCAAGGCAAAACCCAGCCATTCGACCACGCCTGGCCCTGGCCATTGCAGCTCGCCTGCACATAAACCTGTGCCATTCGCTGCTCTGGACATGTCCCTATTTGATGTTATATTGAATATAATATCAAATTGGGACATGTCCAGATTATATTCCTCAGGCTACTCAGGTGGGTGTAGGGGTTAAACCCATCCTCAGAAGATCGGTCTCAGCCTCTCCAAAAGAGCATATCCTGACTCCAAATCCTTACGGAAGTTTCACCCACAACACTTAGACAGTTCAAAGGTTGCATATACATCCATATACACAAGTATACGATTAAAAATTAACTGGCATGTTTCCCTCATGAGTTCCAAGGGGAAAGCGTTGTGAAAGCAAAACCAGCACCCAGGCATCAGCGCACAAATTTTAACACCGAAGTACTTACCGGAACTGTTATTTTGTTTCAGGGGAAAACAATCCGATAAATGGAAGAATGAACAGAATAGATAAGTGGAGTTCCTGGATTATTGACTATTGTCAATATTGTTTTGAAAAAGGGTTTCTGGCCAACATCTCGAAACGTTCAGTGACGTTCAGTAAACGTAATGCTGGTCATGCGAATCGAGAGCCTCTAGGAATATTGTCCAAAGGATCGCCGCGATTCCAGAGTCCCATCGCATCAATCAGACTGAACCACATCAAGCTCTTTTAAATTTTCGAACAAAATGTCTGGAAACAAAAAACATATGATCCCAAATCAGCCGAGGAAAAACAAACACTTGAGCAGATCCTGTTCTCCAACCCTTCCCCCATTCGGAACCCGCAAGACTCGGCCCACGTTGTTGACCTTAGTGATCAAGTGGCACTATCTGCGCAGCTTGAGGTGATGGTACTTGCGGCTTCAACTTCGTCAAACCCTTCACTATCTTGGGCAAAATGGCCACCGGAGCAGTTTTATCCCAGTCATCCTCCCCTTTTCAAGCCAACATCATGATCTGTGGCGAAAAAGTTGCTTCCCACCTCCACATACTCTTTGCTGGTTAAATATAATATATATATATATGCCATTATATGCCCACTTTCCAGCCTTTTCCGTGGCGGTATCTCAGTTGTTCCAGTGATATCCCCATGACATGTCCAGTTGCCACCGGATCCCCTGGGTTCCACCACCAAAGACTGCAAGCTCTGCGACCGCCGCAAACTGCCACGTCGCTTCCTCGCCAAGGTTGCAGTGGGAGTAGCCTCTGGTAATTTGTTACATAGCTATTGAAAATGACCCATAGAAATAGTGAGTTTTCCCATTAAAAATGGTGATTTTCAATAGTTAGTATCCAAAACTGTGGCCTGGACTAAGTCAGTGATGGTCCCAAAATGCAACTATCCAACTGATTTGATACCAAAACATTGCTCGGTTTCCAGGACGCCAAGGGGATAATTTGTGTGGAAATTGTCATGCCAAACTATTCCGTTCTTGCAGATTAATGGCGGCACTTTCCCCACCGGAAAGTATTGTCCCAACTGATGTTCAAGTCGATAAACCAAAAATCATTTGGGTCAAATAGTTGTACGCTATGGCCGCTATGGGTCATTTGATGCTGGCGCCACTTGTATCCACGCAATATCAATCCTTTTCGTGATGAAGTTCAGCCATGACCTACAAATGCAGTTCAGTTCAACCACCATTGAGAAAAACAACAAATGCGTTTCCAAGACTGCCCAAGTGCCCGAAAATTCATGTCTGACCTACGTTTCGAAAGCACGTGAACCCCTTGGATCTCACCCAGTTTGCCCTGTCACCCAACCTGCCCGACATCAGGGGGAGAAATGACCTGCAGTCCCCAAGGCAGTTGTTGAAAGATGGTCGTGTTTCTTCCCGACAATCACCCCACCCAACAATGCTGAAACATGTTGAAACATGTTGAAACAAGAGGTACAGTGTATTTACCATTATCGCCCTGGCCCAATTGATGTTCAGGGATTGTTTTGGTAGAAAGGCGATGATCCGATCAAAACAAATTTATTTAAAATTTGGGAAATGCATTCAAGGCAAAACAGGTTTTTCACATTTTCCGGGGTGATGGAAGGCTGAGACTTTGGAAACCCACTTTGTGGAAACAATACAAAAACATGTTGTTCCTACTTGAAACAAAAATGTGTTACATTCAAACTTACAGTAATTATAGTTGGCAGGAAACGACGTTCAAACTTCCGTCGGGTAATGGATGCACGACAAAAAAAACATGTTGTTGCTGCAAATCCCTTACGAATTTGAGCGTCACACGTCACACGCTTGTCACCGTGCCCCCTCTGCTGTCTGGGTTGCCGCGCGTGTCCTCCTCCTCTTTACCTGCACGAGCAAGAGGCGGGCTGACACTGCAATTTGCAGTTTAATTGATTTCTGAAATCAATAAAGTGATGCCATGTTGGTTTTAAAACAACGAGGTCTAAACTAGATTCCGGTGATTTTTTAAATCCAAAATATGTTCAATCCATAGGGCGACGGCGCTGAAGGCGTGATGATGTCGCAAAGCAGGCAGCATAGTATCAATTTACAGTATTGTGTCTTATCCGTTGGTTTTTTTGCGGGTTCTTTGGATTTCAATATCAGCATGTTGTTTTCGCGCATGTTTATGTTCGCGTGAGACTGCTGATCATGGCAGTTGTAGTTTCAATGCATATTTGCGGTGTGCACACAGCGAGGCACAGAAAGCATTGCAAGTACCAATGTGTTTTTGGATGCGGCACAAGAATGTTGTATTTCATGATAAACGCGAAATTATGTGTTCCTACTCATCACTTGCGTGTTTTTGCAGTTTGGAAACCGAGAGGGCAAACACACAATCTGCAAAACTACATGCAACATTGCATCGTTCCAACCCCGCAAACATCAATGTCGTGTACTGTTGCCGTAGATCATCTCGAGGGCATCTATGTAGGATGAAGGCTTCCAACAACCAAAGCACAGTGAAAATGTCAAAGGTGCAGTTCTTGGCTTGCCGCTAGCCATATCAGAAAAATCGCGCAGGTACACACAAGTGATCAATCTCAGCTTCCCACATTGGGCGGAATAGCTTCGCTGGCACATGTATCCACCACGGGCCTGTGCACCCTGGATTCTGGCACGTACATGGAGACCAAAACCGTAGTAGAAGTTCTGGATTCTACATCTTCCATCCTCTGCATCACCCGCAGCTTGCCACCTCTAGCACTGACATGGTCTTGCTGATGCCGTACCAAGCTGGCGTTCAATCCCGAATTCCTGAAGGCTTTTTTTGCCAAACGGCAACAAAAACTAACTTCGGCACTTTCTTTCGGAACAGCAACCATGTCCCTTGCACGAAATGCTTCACAGCTGCTGATGTGTCTGGCTGCCTCGGCCTCATCCCTAGCACAGCCCCCCATCGAATGTCTTGAGCCGCAAACGGCTATAGCAGAAAATGGCTATAGGAGACATGCCAGCTCAAACACGGCAAGACATGCACTCGCCTCAGACACATATCTACCCCCCACTCGATTAAGATTTTCACTACTGCCAGCGATTTTCCATGCTCGCGCCACTCAATCCTCTAGTTGCGCCACGACTGGGTTTAACACGGCAAGCAACAAAACACTCTATGCCATTTCCGGCTTCTCACTTTGGGTTTCTTGGTGCCTTCAGAAAATGAAAACCCAGCATGATTCAAAAACCGAGCCCCGGCATCAGGTCATGTGCACCTGGTTACGTTTTTGCACGGACTTGCCAGCAGTGGGCAATGTGTGCCACTAACCCTTCTGCCCCTCACTTGACAACGTTGATGACCACGGTCCGCGGGCCCAAGCGCGTCACAGTCACATGAGGGCCTTCGTCATCCTCAGAGGCTGGGACCGGGCTGTCATGTCTCCGCTTGCGGCGGGGCGGGGTGGGAGACGGAGATGGCCACTTCTCCTTCTTCACCTTCTTCGTCTTGCGCTTCTCGATCTTCTTCTCGTTCTTGTCCTTCTTCTCCTCCTTCTTGTCTTTCTTCTCGGTGCGCTTTACCTCAGGTGCCTTAGGCTTCGCCACCGGGGGGTTAGCCTCCGGTGGTTCCACTGCACTGCTGGTGCGGCTTTGTAAGTGCGAACCCCGCAGCTTCGCTTTTTGCGCCGACTGCTGCGCCTCTCCCCAGGAGACACCACCACGCAAGAAGCGTTGCCAAGTCAAGCATGTGAGGCTGTTCGAGCGGTGCTCCTCTTTGTCGGCCCCATGAGTTGGAATTTGGCGCCAGCAGAACCTGCATGCTTTCATAGGCGGCATCTTCATGAAAAGGTCCTGAGCACAAGAACATGCGGGATCACACTCCCTGCACACTGAAACCAATTCAAACCGACTGAGCACACCAGTTGATCCTACAAAAATTATCCGGGCCTCAGTCAGGTGTAAGGCCAGCAAGGTGCGAAATGGGGGGAAGCGAAGATCTTGAACCCGGCCTTTCACAACAAGCAAGAAATAAGGTAGGTCCACTCGGTCCACTCACACATGTTCTTGGCATGTTTAGTCTGGAAGACAGGCGAATGAAACCCCCAGTCAGGCTTATGAAACTTTAGCCCAATAAAATCTCCCACAACAAACGCACAACTCTACGACCCACAGCACCAGGCAGCACGCCAAACTTTTCGTCTTCGACGCGCAAGCCGCCCTAACATGTCTCTACAAATTTTGTTTTGCACGTCAACGCAGGAGGGCCGAGCTTCTCCTCTCAGAAGCTGCTTCCTCCACGCCCGAGGGCGCAAGCTCTTCCCTCAGAAGATGCTTCCAATGATTTGCCACTGGAGGGCGGAAACTTCTTTCAAAACATCATTCCTTGGATATTAGACCCCACACATGACCTGGAGGCCCGAAACTCTTCCACTCACGCCGGCTGAAGCTTTTCTCTCAGGAAACGTTTCCTGATGTGCCTTGAAGTATATACGTTTGCAGGCAGGAGGGCCGTAGGTCTTCACTCAGAAGATGCTGTCTTTGATTTGCAAAGGGTCTTCCACAGAAGATGCTTCTTCTGACATGCGCCTCCACGCAGGAAGGCCGAAGCTCTACACTTAGAAGATGCTTCATTTGATGCCCACGTCCAGGCAGGAGACGCTTCGTTTAAAGTGCGCCTCCACGCGGGAGGGAGGAAGATCTTCATTCAGCAGGTGGTTTCCGTTAATGCGCGCCTCGGCACAGGAAGCCGCAAGACCCACGCATCCATGCAGGAGGACCGAAGCTTTTCACTCAGAAGATGCTTCTAGTAAAGTACACATCTATTATACACAGGACGGCCGAAGCTTCACTCAGAAGATGCTTCCTTTGATGTGCGCCTCCACTCAGGAGGGCCGAAGCTCTTCACTCAGAAGATGCTTCGTTTGATGTGCGCCTCCACACAGGAGGGCTGAAGCTCTTTACTCAGAAGATGCTTCCTTTGATGTGCGCCCCTCCACGCAGCAGGGCCGAAGCTCTTCACGCAGAAGATGCTTCCTTTGATGTGCGCCTCCACGCAGGAGGGCCGAAGCTCTTCAAAGCTCTTCACGCAGAAGATGCTTCCTTTGATGTGCGCCCCTCCACGCAGCACGGCCGAAGCTCTTCACGCAGAAGATGCTTCCTTTGATGGGCGCCTCCATGACGCAGCAGGGCCAAAGCTCTTAACGCAGAAGATGCTTCCTTTGATGTGCGCCTCTCCGCAGGAGGGCCGAAGCTCTTCACGCAGAAGATGCTTCCTTTGATGTGCGCCCCACCACACAGGAGGGCCGAAGCTCTTCACGCAGAAGATGCTTCCTTTGATGTGTGCCCCTCCACGCAGCAGGGCCGAAGCTCTTCACGCAGAAAATGCTTCCTTTGATGGGCACCTCCCCGCAGGAGGGCCGAAGCTCTTCACGCAGAAGATGCTTCCTTTGATGTGCGCCTCCACGCAGGAGGGCCGAAGCTCTTCAAAGCTCTTCACGCAGAAGATGCTTCCTTGGATGTGTGCCTCCACGCAGGAGGGCTGAAGCGCTTCACTCACAAAATGCTTCCTATGGCAGAAGATGCTTCCTTTGATGTGGGCCTCCACGCAGGAGGGCCGAAGCTCTTCACGCAGAAGATGCTTCCTTTGATGCGCGCCCCTCCACGCAGCAGGGCCGAAGCTCTTCACGCAGAAGATGCTTCCTTTGATGCGCGCCCCTCCACGCAGCAGGGCCGAAGCTCTTCACGCAGAAGATGCCTCCTTTGATGTGCGCCTCCCCGCAGGAGGGCCGAAGCTCTTCACGCAGAAGATGCTTCCTTTGATGCGCGCCCCACCACACAGAAGGGCCGAAGCTCTTCGCCTCCACACAGGAGGGCCGAAGCTCTTCACGCAGAAGATGCTTCCTATGATGTGCACCTCCACGCAGGAGGGCCGAAGCTCTTCACGCAGAAGATGCTTCCTTTGATGTGCGCCTCCACGCAGGAGGGCTGAAGCTCTTCACGCAGAAGATGCTTCCTTTGATGTGCGCCTGCACGCAGGAGGGCTGAAGCTCTTCATGCAGAATATGCTTCCTTTGATGTGCGCCTCCACGCAGGAGGGCCGAAGCTCTTCACGCAGAAGATGCTTCCTTTGATGTGCGCCTCCACGCAGGAGGGCCGAAGCTCTTCACGCAGAAGATGCTTCCTTTGATGTGCGCCTCCACGCAGGAGGGCCGAAGCTCTTCACTCAGAAGATGATTCCTTTGATGTGCGCCTCCCCGCAGGAGGGCCAAAGCTTTGATGTGCACCTCCATGCAGGAGGGCCGAAGCTCTTCACGCAGAAGATGCTTCCTATGATGTGCGCCTCCACGCAGCAGGGCCGAAGCTCTTCACGCAGAAGATGCTTCCTAGGATGTGCGCCTCCACGCAGGAGGGCCGAAGCTCTTCACGCAGAAGATGCTTCCTTTGATGTGCGCCTCCACGCAGGAGGGCTGAAGCTCTTCACTCAGAAGATGCTTCCTTTGATGCGCGCCTGCACGCAGGAGGGCTGAAGCTCTTCAAAGCTCTTCACGCAGAAGATGCTTCCTTTGATGTGCGCCTCCACTCAGGAGGGCCGAAGCTCCTCACTCAGAAGATGCTTCCTTTGATGTGCGCCTCCACGCAGGAGGGCTGAAGCTCTTCACTCAGAAGGTGCTTCCTATGATGTGCGCCTCCACGCAGGAGGGCCGAAGCTCTTCACGCAGAAGATGCTTCCTAGGATGTGCGCCTCCACGCAGGAGGGCCGAAGCTCTTCACGCAGAAGATGCTTCCTTTGATGTGCACCTTCACGCAGGAGGGCTGAAGCTCTTCACTCAGAAGATGCTTCCTTTGATGTGCGCCTGCACGCAGGAGGGCTGAAGCTCTTCACTCAGAAGATGCTTCCTTTGACGTGTGCC